CAGGACTGGCCTAGGGGTATTTTAAAGGGGTTTTAAATTAAATTTTTAGTAGAAGCGGCCAAATTTAAATAGTTATTTTTAATCTTTTTAAATTTTGTATTGTATTATATCATTGTTTTAAACTGGCTGTAAGCCGCCCTGAGTCCTCCGGGAGAAGGGCGGGGTATAAATTTAATAAAATCAAAATCAAATCAAAATCTTGGAGAAACCCCTACTTAGAAATCTAATCTTTGTAAGGCCACACTCGGAATACGACATCCAGTTTTGGTCACCACGATGTAGAAAAGATGTTGAGACTCTAGAAAGAGTGCAGAGAAGAGCAACAAAGATGATTAGGGGACTGGAGGCTAAAACATGTAAGGAACAGTTGCTGGAATTGGGAATGTCTAGTTTAACGAAGAGAAGGGCAAGGGGGGACATGATAGCAGTCTTCCAGTATCTCAAGGGCTGCCACAAAGAAGAGGGAGTCAAGCCATTCTCCAAAGCGCCTGAAGGCAGGACAAGAAGCAATGGATGGAAACTAATCAAGGAGAGAAGCAATCTAGAACTAAAGAGAAACTTCCTGACAGTTAGAAGAGTTAACCAGTGAAACAACCTGCCTCCAGAAGCAGTGAATGCTCCAACACTGGAGGTTTTTAAGAAGAGATTGGACAGCCATTTGTCTGAAATGGTATAGGCCAGGGTTTCCTGCCTGAGCAGGGGGTTGGACTAGATGACCTCCAAGGTCCCTTCCTACTTTATTATTATTATTATTATTATTATTATTATTATTATTATTATTATTATTATTATTATTATTATTATTATTATTATTATTATTATTAAAGTAGGGTTGCCAGTTAGGTGGAGATTTATTATCTGGATTTCAACCTGAATGGCCGTGCTCCAACTGGACATTATATGATTCGTATAGCAACATGTTCATTAAAATATTTGTTTTTATTATTTTATTATTTTATTTTTATTTTTTATATTATTTTATTTTATTATTTTTATTATTTTATTTTTTATTTTATTTTATTATTATTTTATTTTATATTTTTTTTGTCCCCCTTTTATTATTTTTAGAAATAACCCAAAGTGGCCAACATCCTTAATACTCTTTCGTCATCTTATTTGCCCCATAACAACAACCCTGTGAGGTGGGTTGGGCTGAGAGAGAGAGAGAGAGAACCTGGCCCAAAGTCCCCAAGCCAGTTTTCATATCTAAGGCGGGACTAGAATTCCCAGTCTCCTAATGATTGGGCCAATGTCACTCAGCCAGCTTTTGATTGGGCTGGTGTCAGCCAGCCAGCTTTTGTCTAGGTAGGATTAGAACTCAACGTTTCCTGATTTCTAGCCTAGTGCCACAACCACTAGACCAAACTGGCTGAAATGCATAATATAACACTATACTATGATAGTATAATACTGGCTATAATGCCACACATATAGCAGTATCAGAGGAGATGGGTGTGAGTAAATAAGAAAATAACCTAGTTGCTGTTGTTAGGCTGAACTAAAAAAAATTAACAGGCTCATATCTGGTTAGGTCCAGGATGGGAGACCACTAGGAGTTCCGGTAATGGGGCCCTGTTGGAGGTGGCTGAAGGGGTAAAAAGATATTATCTCCATCACATCTGTCTCTTCGCTCTTGTAGGTGTGGTTTTAGCATAGGTTTTAAATAATATTTCAGTGTTGGCTTGTTTTATTTTTTTAATCATTTATTCACCTTTTATAATTTGTAAAGGCACCCAGAATCACGTTGTAGGGGAGATGGGCAACCTAGAAATTTAATAAATAAATAAAATAAAATAAAATAAAATAATAAAATAAAATATAAAATATAAAATAAAAAATAAAAAATAAAAAATAAAATAATAATAAAATAATAAAATAATAATAAAATAAAATAAATTAATAAAATAATAAAATAAAATAATAAAATAAAATAAAATAAATAAAATGGCAAATGGCTCTTATAACAATGCCAATAAAACTACATGGATGTTTGCAATGGATTCATCTGGGGTTTTGCTCCACTCAACGGACGCTTCACCTTTATTCCTTCTTTTCTCTTTTTAGAGGGTTTTTTTCCCCCTTGTTTTTGATCTGCAAATCTTGGGTGTTTCCTGGAGTTGATACAGAGGGAAATGCATAACAAGAAAAGGAGACTTAAATTTCCTTATTAGTGTGTTTTAGCGGCAAGATTTCAATCTGCATGGGGCATCTGCAAAGTTTTCATTGCACCGTTATCCCTCCGTTCCCCTTGAAAGGTACTTGGGGTCCTGTTGCCCCAATTTTTATGCTCTGTTAGAAAGGCTGAGCCAGACGTGGGTGATGGTAAAGGTGAGGCTGAAGAAAGGAAGAACTGAGCATTACAGCGGATCTGCTCAGTTCTAGATTAATACTTTAACCTCAAGCTGATCTCCTCCAGATGTGGGGGATTTCAGCTCCCCCCCCCCCCAGTTCATAGCCAGGCACACCTGGAGGACATCATATCGGGGAAATTGACTGTAGTCAGCTGTGTTCACACACACGGCACTTAGCCAGATTAAAGAGACTCAGTTTCTGTACTTGAGTAACATGGTGTTTGTTTTGCGGTTTTACGTCTTGGTGTGTTGTCCAAACCCAGTTTGACTGCAGCTAATCCTTGATTTATAACCATTTGTTAGTGACTGTACAAAAACGCTGAAAAAAAATGAATTACAAACAGTCCTCACACTTATGACCATTGTAGCATCTAAATTCAAGCACTTGTCAGCCGACATGTATTTATGATCGTTACGGTGTGTGTGTGTGTGTCACATGATCACCATTTGCGACCTTCCTAGTTGCTTCCAACAAGCAAAGTCAATGGAGAAAGTGGATTTACTTAATGACTGCATGATTTGCTTAACGATCATGGTGATTCGCTTAACAGTCATGGCAAAAGTGGCAGTAAAAATAATTTAACAAGTGCCTCGCTTAGTGATAATTCCCGTTCCAATTGTGGTCATAAGTCAAGGACTACCTGTAGGTTATTGTTCAGCATATTGCATAAAGCCAGAGAATGCATTAATTCAACAACCTGGTTAAGCATCTTCCAAGAATGCATCTAATTCTGGCGGACGAGGGGAATTATCAGCTTTATATCTTTGTCCCTGTTTCTCAGGGAGGGTCTCACGTCCACTTTTTTTCTTTCCAGACAGCACAACTGCAGCTTGCTAAACAAAATGTTCAGGACCATCCCGGAGTAGAAGCCCACACACAGGAAATGCAAGAATTGAAGCACAAGTGAGTCACCAAAGCTGCGGTTGTCAATACAGGCTTTCTGAAGTTTACCCTTTCAACTAGGTTTTAGCCACATTCGCTAATTGAGCACTACTGGTTACAGCAAGTTGTGTATTGTGGTGTTGTATGCTTGTAAAGGAAGGATGGACAACTTAGTTTGGGCTTAAGGTTGGATCGCCATTTAAATGGTGTGTTCAAGGGCCAGGCTTCAGGATGGGACAAGGCCAGAGTATGGAGGAGGGAAGGAAGGAAACGTAATGTGTAATATGACATTGACTTCATAGTTCACACTAGGTAGTCCTCGACATACAATTGTCCCCAAAATTCCTATGGTTAAGCAAGGCAGTTGTTAAGTGAGTTGCGCTCATTTAATAGAATAATAACAGAATAACAGAGTTGGAAGGGACCTCGGAGGTCTTCTAGTCCAACCCCCTGCTCAGGCAGGAAACCCTATACCACTTCAGACAAGTGGCTGTCCAGTCTCTTCTTAGAAACTTCCAGTGTTGGAGCATTCACAACTTCTGGAGCATTCACAACTTTATGATCTTTTTGCCACAGTTAAGCCAATCACTGCAGTTCTTAAGTGAATCATGCTGTCATTAAGTGAATCTGGCTTCCCTTGTTGACTTTGCTTGTCAAAAGCCAGCTGGGAAGCTTACAAATGGCAATCACATGATCCTGGGACAGCGCAACTGTCCTAAATACAAGCCAGTTGCCAAGCGCCTGAATTTTGATCGTGTGACCAAGGGGCTGCTGCCAACGGTTGTATGAAAACGGTCCTAAGTCACTTTTTTTCATTGCTGTTGTCACTTTGCACGATCACTCAATGAATGGTTGAAAGTCAAGAATTAAATCAAGCTTAGCTAGTTATCAAGCAGCTGCCTTGAGCTTTCCTTGAATTGGATAACCTGCATGTGTGAACACAATGCCTGCACTGTGATACCTGGAGGAAGGCCTTTGATTAGATGCAGTTTGGCTTGAGGGAGAATTGGTCAACTGAGCAACGGTTTGAATTTGTGATACGGTCTCTGTGTCCCTTTTGCATCAAGACCATTTTCATGCCCCCCCATCCCCAAGACACCCCCCCCCTTCAATCTTTCCCAAGCAGAGGAACCGTTCCTGCCTCTTGCACCCTTTTCATACTTGGGAGAAAGGAAACCGGTTTCCCATCATTGGGACTTTCAAAGCATCCGAGCTGAATTTCCCACAATGCTTAGCGGCGCGTGGCATCGTGGGAAACTCCCTTCTCTCCATGCAGGGACACCCTTGGGAAGAGAGTCCTTATGGGAAAGCGGAGTCACGATTTTTGCCCCAAAACGGGTCCTGTCCTTTCACAAATCAGGGCAAGGGGTAAACGCAAGCAAATTTGAAGCGAGGATGTGGGAATATTTTTCTCTTTTTTTTATTCAAAAAGGCCTCGGTAAGGGTCTTCAAAGGCCGTATTCTATCCCCCCCTCTGCTGAGCCCCCATTTTTGCAGATTGTTCCATGTTGGCTCTTTGAAGCCTAACTCCCCCCCCTGCTCCCCCCACTCCAGCCCATCCCAGCCCTGGGGTTGCCCCTCTCGTAGACTTTCATAAACAAGGCTGGGCTGCGAAGGACGCGGGTGAGCGCGGCTAATCGGCTCCATATGGTGCTTTATTTATCGTTTCCATCCGGCTCACGCAGGCTAATTCAAACCATCGAAGCAATCAGCGAAATTCTTCAGGATTTCAAGTACGATTCGGAAGAAAGCAGTTGACAGGCTGCCCCGTGGGAGAAAGATGAAGAAAGGCTGGGGATGGAGGGGGGGGGAAGAGATGGAGACATAAGACATCCTCCCCCCCTCCGCTAAGGTTGGTCCTCGCCTGCTCGCAGCTCGCCCACCCCGGCTTCCCTCTTTCGTCATGCCAGGCCGATGCCCGCAGGTGAGATGCTGCAGGAGGCACAAGGCTCGGTGCTGTTTGGCCACCTGCCCAATGAAGCCAGTTCCTTGGCACTTGGTCCCCACTGCCTTTATGGGACAAGGAGGGGCAGGGGGGAATAGCTTGTTTATGTTCTGAAATAAAGTGGGTTGTTTTTTTTTACCCCTTCAATAAAAAAAAAAGCAGACTCCTTTTTTACTAGTCTCTCTTTATTATCTTGAGCAGACCAGATGTTTTCTTGATCGGTTAGCCCCAGATGGACATCCTTTGGGAAGGAGGGAGGGAGGGAGGGAGGAGGGCAAAAAAGTCAAAATGGCAGCTCTAGGGTCTGTGTTTACAAACCTCATCTTTCATCACACTACTTTTCCGTTGGAGTGAAATCTTAAGTCTTTCTTTACAAGGGATTAAGAAATTGGGTTTGGAGGTGGGTCATTTTTAACGTTGAGCATTTATTTGGATGTTCCCCCTGCCTGACATGGATATTCTGATCGTTCCCCCTCCCCAATTCTGGATTGTAATCCTAAACCAGGGGTAGGCAACCTTGGCTCTTTTATGACTCGTGGACTTCGACTCCCAGAATTCCTGAGCCAGCCATGCTGAGGGGACAGGGAGAAGTTTCCAAGCTGAGCCATGCTGGCTCAGGAATTCTGGGAGTTGAAGTCCACGAGTCATAAAAGAGCCAAGGTTGCCTACCCCTGGCCTAAACTGTCATAGGTAATCCCAGATACATCCCCAGCACCGGGTTTTCCAAGTCACTGAATTACAGATACTTACTTGACTTACAACCACAAATAGGCCCAAAGTTTCTGTTGCTAATGAGACAGTAGTTAATTGAATTTTGCCCCATTTTATAACCTTTCTGGCCACCATTGTTAAGCGAATCGCTCGTTAGTAATATGGTTGTTAAATGAAATCTGGCTTCCCCATTGACTTGCTTGTCAGACATTTGCAAACGGTGATCACATGACACCAGGAGACCGCAGCTGTCGTAAATAACATGCCGGTTGCCAAGCGTCTGAATTCTGATCACGTGACCATAGAGGGGATGCTGCAATGGTTGTGTGAAAAATGGTCATAAGTCATTTTTTTCAGTGCCGTTGAAACTTCAAAAGGTCACTAAGTGGACTGTTGTAAGTCAAGGACTACCTATACAAACTCCATCCTCCGCCACAGGGCCATGTTGGTTGAAAATGGCAGCATTTGTAAACAGTGAGGGAAATTAGGGTGGCTAGTTTTTTTTTTCTAAATGCCATAAAAATGAGAGACGCCATAGTTCCCTTTCTGAGGTGAGCTAAATGGCCTGTCCAAGATCAGTGGCATGTTACTTTTGAATAATTGTAGAACGCAACAAATAATGAGATTGTGGTCTTTGTCCCCAACTTTTTGCCTTTAATGCTGTTGGAAACAAAGATGCTGGTTTGGCCCAATTAAAAAGGAGAGGCAGGTGACGTCAGTTCAAAAGATGGCTTCGGCTCTGGGTGCAAAACCTCCCAGATTTGCAGAGGTAAAAAAAAACCTGTTGCTTCGGACATAAAGTAGGTATTGAACACTTAATATTTTTGACAACAGAGCACACCGACAACAACAAAAAAAACCCTGTGAAATTTCACAACCAATTTTTCCATTCTTCTTTTTAGAATTTGGAGGTTAAATGTAAACCTGTTTCTTTTTTTTCCTGATGACACAGCTCGTTTCTTTAGCCGTTTCCGCTTTTCAATCAGCTGCCGATTCCAATTTCATAACTGAGGAATATAAGAAGAAAACGGCTCTCCTGAAGCAACGGAACCTCTTTAGGGCCTGCTTAGAGGGAAAACCTGGGTGGATTACAAATTTTTATCTTGGCACTGTAAAAACGAAAACTGGCACGGAGAGGTCTTTTCCCAGCAAAATGTCCTTCAGCTAAGGGGAACGCCTTTATATAATAATTAGAAAACTCAAAAATCCAACTTGGCTGAAGAACGTCGTATGCGAGAAGCTGATTTAGAGTTACTCTGGAGGAAGAGGCGTGGACTGCCCTCTGCCCAGCTTCTAGCTAGTTTGCAGAAAGGGTGTTAGTGGTGGTGATACAATCTTGGCAATGCCGCTCAAGGCACCTGGATTACGGCTGCTCTTGATTTCCTTTGTGTGTATCCTCGGCAGGCCTGAATCCAACAACCGGGTTGGCTCTTAAGTGAAACACCCAGTTCCACCATCCATCCAAGCTACAATTTGTCACTGGATAGGACCTGGGGAGAAAAGAGAGGGTTGAAACCTGATATGGCCAGCATAGGCTCCACAGCACACCCTATTTCCCCGCTTCCCCAATTGACAAAACCCCAGCCCTATTTATTTGCACAAATATTTGTAGAAACCCCCCCCCACACACACACACACTTCAATAAGAGAGTCGCAAGCAATTTCCGGTTTTCCTATTTTAATCCCCTTTTGGTGGATCTTGGGCCCGTCCCTCCCTCTTGCCCAACCCACCTCACAGGGTTGTTGTGGTGGGGAAAATAGGAGTCTAGGTAGTCCTTGACTTAACAACAATTCGTTTAGTGTTTTAAAATTTAGGTTTTATATGGGGTATTTTAGAGCAGGCCTTTATTTAATCTGATTTTAGAATAGAAATTTGAGTATATTTATTGTGATTTTTATTATCGCCTGTTCACCACCCTGAGTCCCGTAAGGGAGATAGGGCGGTATACAAATTTAAATAAATAAATAATAAATAAATAAATAGTGGCCATTCAAAGTTAAAATGGCACTGAAAAAAGTGACTTTTGATAAGTTTTTCACACTTATGACTGTAGCAGCAACCCCATGGTCATGTGATCAAATTTCGGAGGCTTGGCAATTGGTTCATATTTATGACGGTTGCAGTGTCCTGGGATCACGTGATCCCCTTTTGCGATCACCTTCTGACAAGCAAAGTGGGGAAGCCAGATTCACTTAACAACCGTGTTACTTAACAACTGCAGTGATTCACTTAACAACTATGGCGAGAAAGCTCATAAAATGAGGCAAAACTCACTTAACCTCTGTCTCGCTTAGCAAAAGAAATTTTGGGCACAGTTGTGGTTGTAAGTCGGGGACTACTTCTACTAGGTATAGTTCACCTCCTTGAGTTGATCAAAATACATTTATTTAAAAGTGGGATAAGAATCTAATTAAAGAATGTGCAAGTGTCTTTTTACAAAGCTGTCTCCTGAGTACTGAATCAGCTTTTTTTTAACCTCAATCTGTTTCATCCATAATCCCAAATTAAAAAGAAAAACCAGTTTAATTTCAGTTTAGCAAATATGTCTTCCAACTAGTTGAGTAGGTAAGTAATCACTTGGAGTCAATAAGTAGCTCTATGCCAGGGGTCTTCAAACTTGGCCAGTTTAAGACTTGTGGACTTCAACTGCCAGAATTCCTCAGCCAGCCCTGGCTGGCTGAGGAATTCTGGGAGTTGAAGTCCACAAGTCTTAAATTGGCCAAGTTTGAAGACCCCTGCTCTACGCCCATCCTTGTATAGACTGAATGACTGCCTTGATTTTCAGTGAAAACCCAGGTGTCCTTTCTACCTGGTTCCGTGTTTTGTGGGACTTCTGCAGTGCCACCCGCCACTGATCATACATTTTGATGCTCAAATTGGCACAGGTTCCATGTTTGCGCATCCATCCAAAGAACTGCTTGAGCTCTCGGCGTAGCGTGTTGTTATGTTCTCCATTCTTGGGTTCACAAACTCCCGGTGTCCGTCCTGAAAGAGGAAGAGAAGATTGACAAGGGATATTCTTCCAGAAAAAAAAATCCACAAAACTCTTAATCTTTGAATGCTAGAGGAGGAAGAGAGGAAGAAGAGAAGAAGAAAAAGAAGGAGAGGAAGAAGAGAAGAGGAGAGGAAGGAGAGAAGAAAGAGTGATGGGAAGAAGAGGGGAAAGGAAGAAAAGGAGAAAAAAGAAGGGGAAAAGGAGAAGAGAGGAAGCAGAGAAGGAGAAAATGAGGGGAGAGGAAGCAGAAAACAGGAAGAAAAAGGGAGGAGAGGAAGGAGGAGGAGGGGGGAAGAAGGAGAGGAGGGGAAGAAGGAGAGGAGAGGAAGAAGGAGTGGAGGAAGAGGGTTCTGCTGAATAAAAAAAAATATTTAGCAAAAAAGATTTATTTAGCCCAGCTTCCTTTCCATTTCCTGCAACAACCAATCGGATGCCGCTAAGATGCCTACATAAAAGTTATAAACCAGCTTATCAACCTACCCATGTTCTCTGCCCAGCAGTACTGTAACTGATTTGCAGAAAACTACTGTTATCCAGCAAGAATAGCACAGCTATTAGAAGTAAATTTACATGCTAAGCTAGACACGTTTAATAAATAACGAAACAGAACCCATAAGAGCAGCCCAGCTGGATCTAAACACCCAGCGTTACAGCTGCTTCCAGATGCTTACACAGGTGCCTTTGAAAGTTGCCAGGCATATAACCAACATATGACCTGCTGTCTTCTTTTGGCTACAGACCAGCTACTGGTATTTATTTGCCAGCTCCCTCAAATTATTAAAATCTGCAGAGGGGATCACAGATAGGGTCAAGGTGATTACACAATTATGTGTTCTTTATTTGTGTGGGACATATTATATCTATGTAATGCAGTGTTTCTCAACCTTGGCAACTTTTAAGATGTGTGGATATCAATTCCCAGAATTCCCCAGCCAGCCATCCTGGCTGGGGAATTCTGAGAATTGATTTCCACACATCTTAAAAGTTGTTAAGGTTGAGAAACACTGGTCTAGTGCAGAGGTAGGCAACCTTGGCTCTTTTATGACTCGTGGACTTCAACTCCCAGAATTCCTGAGCCAACCATGCTGAGGGGAAAGGGAGAGGTTTCCAAGCTGAGCCATGCTGGCTGAGGAATTCTGGGAGTTGAAGTCCACGAGTCATAAAAGAGCCAAGGTTGCCTACCCCTGGTCTAGTGTGTGGTATGTTGAAATCGCTGTTTGCAAGCCATCTCACTTCCCAAGATGAAGCAAAGTATAACTGTATCAAAGAATTTTGCGGGCCACTTTAGAAGCTCAGCTATCTTTTTTCACAAGGAGAAATCCACCAGTGCTTTGCCTATAATATATTATTCCCCTTTTTAAAAAAAAAAAAAAAATAGATTGCATGCTTTCATTTACCACTCCAACATCCTCCTGAAATCTTCTCAATTATTTTTCAGCTGGCACAATTGATCCTCAACCCATCCTTAGTCACTTAGTCAACCAGACAGAGATAAAGCTGCTGAACATGAGGAATTAAGTATATGTTCTCTTCAGGGAAAACTGGCCGATCCTCCCTCGCTCCTTCCTTCCTGCCCTCCCCACTGTCAGGTATCCTAAAAGCCAGGAGGAGAGGAGCTGAATGTTATGTGTGAAGGAGGCTTGGAAAGAATGGATTAGATAGGGCAGCATTTGAGGTCCAAGTGTTTGTGGATTTCTCAGCCGGCTTTGGAACAAGAAACCCAGGTGCAGGGCAAGACCGCAAGACCCAGATTTCTTCCGAGTCTCTTGGCTTGGAAGCCCAAATCTACTTCTGACACAGAATCAGATTCTCAGAACGTCTACTCAGATTTCTGGGAAGAGGAACGTGACAGAAGCTCTGAGCTTCAAGCTGGAAAGCTGCCCAAGGTGGTCACCAAGAGAAAACCCAGAAAGCAAGCATCTGGCAAAGGAAGAGGAGTTCCACTTAGGGTTTTTTTGCTGCTCCCCATTGTGACCAGGCCACAAGCCAGCAAAACAGAATAACAGAGTTGGAAGGGACTTTGGAGGTCTTCTAGTCTAGCCCCATCAGTACGCTGATGACACTCAGCTGTACATCTCCACCCCAGGCCACCCCAACGATGCCCTTGACGTGATGGCCCGTTGCCTGGAGGCCGTACGGGTCTGGATGGGGAGGAACAGACTCAGACTCAACCCTTCCAAGACCGAGTGGCTGTGGTTGCCGGCGCCCCGGCATAGTCAGCTGATTCCATCGCTGTCTATA